GCTTGAACATGTAAATGTTTATATTTAAATGTCACTATTTAAAGTGAATTTTCTTTAAATCACGATTTAAAAACCCCGGTAAAACGGCCATGCTTTCAACTCGCATCATAAGTGGAGGAAATAAATTTACTTGTGTTTTTTGGAACAAATATTCTGATTGGTTGTTTTTCGCGTCAATGCGTGGCTTTGGCCAATCAAAAGCATCGTTACATAGTATCAGGGTGCACACAGTAAAATGAACTGTTTCCGGGTCATAGCTGTCTTCAACGAAGCAGACATCAACAAACTTTTGATTCGAATGAAAATTATTCTTTTAAGTATGTATTTTGTTTTTTTTATACCTAAATAGGTTTTACTGTAATTCTATTATTTTTGATAGTAACTGTTAACTGCAGATCGAAAATCTTCTATTGTGTACATTTTATTTCGTTTGATCACCTTGGTTTTTGATGCCATTCATGCAAGTTTTTTAATGAACAAATTACGAACGTTTGTGCGACATACATTTTATTTTGCTTCATCCAAATAAATATAAATCATAAATATAAATTTTTGCTAAAAATTAAATAAAGCATGTATGTATCTATTTGGGACAATAAATTAACAAACTTGTTACGTCTTTTTCTGGACGTGATCATTACTTGTAAACTGATGTCGCCGCTTGAGGAATCGTGCAGCTAAAATCAGCTGATTGTACGTGCTGACATTTACTTAATAATAGCTCTTCAAAATTCCTATTCATTTTGTAATAATAAATATATATTATGCATATGTAATAATATGTAGATTTATAGATTTTTTGGTTTCCATTTTTTAACATCCTTGCCAATGATGCACGTTACAAATGTGCCACGCCCACTTCACATTGGCGCGCCCTGTTTAATTTTCAAACCGTGGAGAACCCTGATGGTTCTTGAGATAGCAGTGGAACAGTCGGACACACATACACACATACACACACACATACACACATACACACATACAGACACACTAACTGCAAAGACTCCCATTTTGTGCTTCGCACATGGGAGTCAACCATGTGATTTTGATACAAAATTGCTGGTCTAGCAGGTATTTTGATTGTCAAATTTGATAACTGTGATACAAATGTGTCTGGAACTCATACCATAATACCAGTTGTTACTTTGGGATTTGATTGATTTTGTCGAAAATGACTGTCTGTAAATGTGTTTGTCATGTTTCACTGAGATGAACATATAGCAATTTTATTCAAACTTTGCAGCAGGATCATTCATATTCACTTAAATGTCAATAGTAAGGTCAATTCACAAATTTGTTTTTACAACTAGAATATAAAACCAATGGCAAGGTTGTGTAAATTATAATTTACCTGTGGTACGCGAGGAACCCATCCTTTCCTAGTGCCATAAGATGGAGCTTTACACATGGATACACTCACCATTCGCATCTGAAGAAGGAAACAATTATATATGACAGTTATTCCTTCAAAATAAAAACAGTTTCATTGCATTTTAATGTATGACATACATGTACATACACCCAAACCGAAAACAATGCAATTTGCATTTTCTACTTTTGGTGGTTTCCAGAAGTATGTCGCCTACTGGCAATATACCCATGTACATAATAAAATAAAAAATGTACTAGCATCTGGTAGGACTATTTAGGAACACTGATGGAAATATGTACGCTTCATATTAACAAAAAATATGAAGACAAGAAACTAAAATATTTAATATCATTAACATACCTCCTGTGACGTCCTGTCAATCTCATCAAATTCATCTTGTGTAATTTGGGTTGGTGCTGGAAGAAAACTAAAATAAAGGGAAAATTTAGATAAATTTCTTTTGTGACATGACGACGGTAGTGCTTATATAACCCAGATCTAACCATTATCATTGTAATCTCTGTTCCAAACAGCTTTAGTAAAAATGTATACAATAAGATAGAGGTCGAGAAGAAAAGGAAAGAGAAAAAATAGGTTAGCAAATTTTAGTTTTTTTTTTTGGTTAGTATGAAAAACAAAATTGAATTCCCACATATAAATATCCAACCTAATACTCAAATTAATACCAAATTGCATCGGCATGTAGGTATACACTAGTACATCAGTATCAACTCCGTTTAGTACATCCATAGTCATATAAACAACCTACAACAAGCATTACAATCTGCTTCAAAGCGACCTGAGATCTGCATACAATCGTCATGAAAAAAAAACATTACTGGTGTTTTTCATTCGATTTTCACATTTTTCCGCTCACTTTTCTCGCGACCCCAACGTTGATCACAGTGAATACTGCACGACAATGATACCAGTCCACTGTTCACAGACTGTTGTACAAAACTACAAGGTTTGGTCTCAAAAGCATAGCGTTCGGAATACCCACTTTACAATTATACTGATACAGGAATACAGAAAAACAATGATCAAAAGAACCCACGCCAATAAAGTGATACAATATTCATATAAATGGGACATATTTGTGAACTATTCTGGCTATACACTCTTACCTCGACATCATCGCCATTTTGGCTTTTCAATGCATAACTTACATCCGGGAGCTTTCTGTCCTCGTACAATTATCATTTCTATTAAACATCTAATTTTACACACAGAAAAAAAAACACTAATCATTTACAGTAGACTAAAAATTTAGTGTATATAATTTAGTTAAGGCTTTATTCATTGATAGGTACTATATTTTTAATTAATATTTTTTGTTTGTTCTGTGTCCAAAAAGATTACGCCTAAACGAGGATAAGGTCAGGTCAACGATCAAAGTGCACAACAATATGTCACGTCTTCTGCTTCAATGTGCGCTCATATAAATGTCACTTTCTACGAAACTAATGTTGTTTGAGTCTAAGCTTGCTCAAATTTATTGAAAAATCAGCGTTTACTACAGCAAAGGTATATTATTTACTTTTGTTTGTGACCTCGTAGCTGTGCGGGAAAATATTTTAATTTATTTATTCTCAGAGTTTATTGTGTTTCTGTATCGCAGAAGGACTGGTGCCGGATTAGATCACGGTTGCTAGTAACCGTGGATAGATTAACTCCGGGTATAACGTCTTTAGTCCATGGTTCTTACTTAAATTCTACAACTGACAACTACAAATAATTAGTTTTTTACACCTATGTGTTGCTCGTTGCTATCTGAGATCACAGTTTTCTGTAGCCGTGGTTTCGTGTTTTCTGAGCTTGAATTTGGAACCATCTCAATATTTTTCAAAATTCACAATGTATTTATTGCTCTTCAAAAAATTTAACCACTACCGAATTGCAGTGTGAATTTGATGCTATAGCAACAATTGTTCCCCCTGAGAATTACATCACCAAGTTGTACAGTACCGGTAATCATCAGAGCAACTTTTTTGCTTGACTGTCATAATGATGAAAAATGGAGAGACCCGGGCGCTGCGAAATCACTCTTCAACTTTCTTCTGAATGGAACATCATACCATCTTGATCCATAATTTTCGTTGCAGGATTCTAAGTAACAGTGAAAACAAGAATGAGCTGACAGCCAGCCAGTATGGTTATGAGAAATAGTAGAAATTTGATCAAATATCTAGTTGCTGGAGGAGTAACCCTTTCCAGTTTGGAATATTTGCGAAGACATGATTTTAATTTATCGTCCATTGGTCTGGTTAGGTTTGGGAGAGCCTTCGCAGTAGTAAGTACAGGGATATCACAAAGACGTTATGATGATCACATCTCTGCTTACTGCCCAAGTGCTTTTACTTTACTAAGCTTATGGTACAGTGAAAGGCATAAAGCTGGGGACGTTTTAAATCTTTTATAAATTACTGTATAATTCAAAATGACCAATCCAGAATTGATACAGAGACATCATAACGAGTTCTAATTAATAATAATGAGCTAGTTAAACATCAAATCAGCAAGTCCTTCATTTTGAATAAGTAGGCAGTCGCAGGCTTTTGTGCACATTATGGGCATAGACAATGTCATTATTAAATATTTGAATGAAAGCTGATGATTGATTATTTGTTATAAATATATTTTTAAATTATTGTACATCTTTCTGCTTTTCACTGTATGTGGAGCCCAGGACTTCTCTTAAATTTATTTTGAACATACCTTGCAGGCAATCAATGTATTCATTGACTATAAAGTGTCTATGTATGGTGTTGATAGTCAACAAGAGGATTACCAAGAACTTAAAAACAAGGTAGGAATGGATTTGCAGTTACTTAATGAGTCTTGTACTGCAATAGCTCAAGCTATATAATTCTGGTGTATTTTTTAGTATATGGTATTCTTCAATGAAGTATGTATTCTTCTTATGAAATTTGAGCATTTGGTAGGAAAACACAAAAATGCTGTACTGTTGCTATGACAACTATTTTATATGCATGTTTGGCACCGGTACATGTATGTTACCATGTTCTGAACTTTCGGCTCATTTGAAGTTCAAATTTTGAAGTTGTAGGTGAAATCATTTTTTCAATTTCTGACAACAGTGGATATGATCTCATACTTTACCCAAAATCCCTTGCTGAAGAACCAAGATGGGAGACTACATACATGTAATACATGTACATGTATGGGACAAACTGTCTATCTTTGATTATTATGAAAACTTATCATCTGAAAAAACTCAAAATTTAATTAAAACTTTCTTAGACAACAAATATAACTTGGATAACGATGGAATACATGATGCAGTACTGAATTTCAACTCAATTATTGGTGATGTAGCTGATCAAACCTTTAAAAAGAAGAAATCAAACATCAAAACAAAAACATAAACAAAAA